CTCAGCCCTGGGTCAGGTGTGTGGAGCCTGCATGGGGGATGTAGGAATGGCAGGTCGTCCTCTGTCTTGGTACACGGGAGCCAGCACTTGGTTGAGACAGTCTCCTGGGTGACAGTGGAGAGCCAAGGCCTGACGTCCTAGGGAGTGGCACCACCACTCAATGCAGGAGGGATGACCACAGGCTCCGGAAGGAAGGAGGCTTTGTCTTCCAGCCATTCCGGGACCTGGCACCACAGTGGTGTTGCATAGATACCTTTGTCTCTCCCCCAGAACAATCTTGATGATGGGCCGTTATGTGGAGCCCATCGAGGACGTGCCTTGCGGGAACATCGTGGGCTTGGTGGGTGTGGACCAGTTCCTTGTGAAAACAGGCACCATCACCACCTTCGAGCACGCCCACAACATGCGGGTGATGAAGTTCAGCGTGAGCCCTGTTGTCAGGGTTGCCGTGGAGGCCAAAAACCCGGCTGACCTGCCCAAGCTGGTGGAGGGCTTAAAGCGGCTGGCCAAGTCAGACCCTATGGTGCAGGTGGGTAGGTATACCCTGGCAGGAGGCACCACCACCACCTGCAGTGTCTGAGCTGAAAAGATGGGGTGGTTTCTCAAAGGAGGGACTTCCAGTTGGAACTGTTTGGAGATTCAGGTGTGTGTGAAACGCACACCTTCCCCCAAAGAGCTGTGGCCCTTTTTTTTAAAGTATATAGTTTTATTGATTTCAGAAAAGGGAGAATGAGAGAGAAACATAAATGATGAGAGAGAATCATTGATTGGCTGCCTCCTGTACCACCCACACGGGATTGAACCATGACCTCCTGGTTCATAGGTTGACACTCAACCACTGAGCCATGCTGGTCGGGCGTTGCTGCTCTTTTTCATGTCAGTTTACTGTCCAGGAGCCCAGGCCTTGGATCTCTATAGACTGGCTATAGATGATGGGTCTTTTTTTTTTTTAATTTTTATTGATTTCAGAGAGGAAGGGTGAGGGAGCGAGAGATAGAAATATCAATGATGAGAGAGAATCACTGATTGGTTGCCTCCTGCACACCCCCTACTGGGGATTGAGCCTACAACCTGGGCATTTGCCCTTGGCCGGAATCGAACCCAGGACCTTTCAGTCCCCAGGCCGACGTTCTATCCACTGAGCCAAACCAGCTAGGGCGATGGGTCTTATTTTAGGCTAACACTGAGAACCAGCAAATAAAGGCTCATATGACCCCTTGCTTCCCCCCACGGGCCCTGAAAATGTCACTAAAAATCTCCCACTAGAAAGGGATGCTTGGAGCCTGCCATTCTCCACCCCCCAGTTCCTTGGGTTTTTCCGAGTAGTTCTCTGGGTTTGATTCTTGGATTAACATTTGGCCTCTTTCAGTGCATCATTGAGGAGTCAGGGGAGCACATCATTGCTGGGGCTGGTGAGCTGCATCTGGAGATCTGCCTGAAAGACCTGGAGGAGGACCACGCCTGCATTCCCATCAAGGTGAAGCATGCTGTCCCTGGTAGGGGTAGGGATGGAGGCATGTAGGGACGGCAGAGCCCTTGTCCAGGCTGGGCTCTGAGTATTCCCTCCTTTCCACCCGCGCCGAGGACATGAGGTGACTTCCCATGTGAAACCAGCAGTTCATACACATCCTCACAGCTTTGAGGTTGGAGTGTGGGGGGTCTGCTTTCCAAAATCTCAAAACTCAGCTTCTAAAGAGCATAGACATTTAGTAGCCAACCTTAGGCCCAGTTGCTGGCCCTCTATTTTCATTCTCTACTTTTTCAAATAACTGAGCTCCGATCCGTGTTCATTAAATCCCTTAAAAGGCATTCCGCTCATAGAAATACAAATCTCCCCCCCCAGTTAACTGCTTTTTCATCTTCCATATGTCAAAATAGGATTAGGCCAGTGCCTACATTTTGCATATTCTTCTTTTCAAGTAATAATTGCATAGAATTTCACAAGATAAATTATTCTCTAGCCAGTCCTATTAGCAGTGGGTAGCCCCCTGCAAGGGAAAAGCTGTATACTTTGTATTTTTGCAGAAGCCAGTTGGGCATGGCTCTGTGCTACTAAATTAGTCATTCTGATTTTTGCGCCCATTGCCCGTCTGTTTCCTGAGTCTCATTAGGAGACCCCTCTCCTGGGCGGTCACTTCCTCCTGCAGGCCTGACTTCCGTGCTCCTTTTGCAGAAATCCGATCCTGTTGTCTCCTATCGTGAGACAGTTAGCGAGGAATCGAATGTGCTCTGTCTGTCCAAGTCTCCCAATAAGCACAATCGACTGTACATGAAGGCACGGCCCTTCCCTGATGGCCTGGCTGAGGACATTGACAAGGGTGAAGTGTCTGCCCGCCAGGAGCTCAAGCAGCGGGCCCGATACCTGGCCGAGAAGTACGAGTGGGATGTGGCTGAGGCACGCAAGATCTGGTGCTTCGGGCCCGATGGCACTGGGCCCAATATCCTTACTGACATCACCAAGGGTGTGCAGTATCTCAACGAGATCAAGGACAGCGTCGTGGCCGGCTTCCAGTGGGCCACAAAAGAGGTGAGGGGCCACTTGGTCATCCAGCTGAAAAATTATTAGCATCAGAGTCCATCAGTGGGACTTTGGCATAGGCCCAGACTCACCTGTGCAGACTTTTGGTGGGGATGGAATCCTCGGGGTTACCTGTTTTCTGTTAGTGAAGTGGGGCCAGTGGTCCTACCTCCTGAGGAGGGCATGCTAGGGAGGGTGAGCAAGGCAAGAGAGTAAGGTCTCTGTGGTTGCAGACCTGGAGGCTGGCACAACACAGCTGTGTGACTTGGCCTTCCCCTCTCAGGGGAGACTGCAGTAGAGGCAGGAGCTTGATGGTGAATTTGGCCCCTTCCTCTGTAGGGGGCACTGTGTGAGGAGAACATGCGCGGTGTACGCTTTGATGTCCATGATGTAACTCTGCATGCTGATGCTATCCACCGAGGGGGTGGCCAGATCATCCCTACAGCCCGGCGCTGTCTCTACGCCAGCGTGCTAACTGCCCAGCCCCGACTCATGGAGCCCATCTACCTTGTGGAAATCCAGGTAGGGAGTCCTGATTGTTCTACTGCTACTGGTCCCCTTCCCACCTAGCAACTGCTAAATAGCCTTTTATTGCCCGACAGTGTCCAGAGCAAGTGGTTGGTGGTATCTATGGAGTCCTGAACAGGAAGCGGGGCCATGTCTTTGAGGAGACCCAGGTGGCTGGCACCCCCATGTTTGTTGTGAAGGCCTACCTGCCTGTCAATGAGTCCTTTGGTAAGTGCTTGCTGGGTGGCTCTCAGATGCCCACAGTCCACTGTCCCCCAGCCAGACTGATCTAGGATAGACTCGTTTCTTGCCCCTTATGCAAGGCCCAGAGTGAGGCAGCCTAACGGGAGCCATGGATGTAATCCGCAAACTGCTCCCCCGTTCCCGTCCATTTGGGATGTAAGAGCAGCATGGTTATGTAGGAGGAGAAGGTGGCCCACTTCTTGTGGACCTCTGAATTGATGAATTGGGGGGCGGGGAGTGGTCACTCAGGTGTGTAAATTTGTGAGATCTGAAGATCGAATCTGGCAGAGAAGTAGCTCAGGCTCACCCTCAGGGTGAGCAGCTGGAGATTGAGGTGGGCCAGCATTACCTCACTGTTCAGTAGTGGTCTCTGAACAAGCCTGGGTGAGGAGCAGGGTTAGGGGTTTTAATGTCTGATCCCATCCAGGTTGTCTAGTTTCTGATCTCTCTGGTGTGAGTGTCCCCACCTTCAGACTTGGCCAGCGTACCAAGTCTGGACTGCCCAGTGAGCCCTGTACCTGCTTCTCCCACAGGCTTCACTGCCGACCTGAGATCCAACACAGGTGGCCAGGCTTTTCCGCAGTGTGTGTTTGACCACTGGCAGATCCTGCCCGGAGACCCCTTTGACAACACCAGCCGCCCCAGCCAGGTGGTGGCCGAGACACGTAAGCGCAAAGGCCTGAAGGAAGGCATCCCAGCTCTGGACAACTTCCTGGACAAATTGTAGGTTGCCCTTCTGCAGCCTGCCTCCCAGGTGCCACCCCCCTCACCGGCTCATGATCAACCACAACAAGCCCTCATTCTCCACAACATCTTGAGACTGTCCAGACACAGTGCCGCTCGCCTGGCTGGTTCTGGGGCCACTCTGTGCCATCGCTCAACATGAACACTTGATGCTGTTTCTTTCTATATTTATTTCAAGATTTCAGAGGCAACAGAAATGCCCTGGCTACAGGGACTATTTGGCTGGTGGGGGAGGTGGGATGGGACATCCAACACTTCTTTCCATTTCTGAGGAACACTCAAATGTCAAAAAAAAAGGAAAAAAGAATTAAAACGCATTAAGAGGTTTATTTGGGTAAATGGCCCACAGTGGATTTTCCCCCAGAAAGGGGGAAAGAAAAAGCAGGTAGACATTTCTGTTTGGACAGAAGCTAGAAGGCAGGAAATTCTGTGCAATGTCACCATGAGCACCTCAAAACTGTATTAGTGCCATTGGAATAATAAATTTGATTATGGTGGTGATTGCCTTTGTCTGTTGACTTCCTTCTCAGTTCGCTCAGGCTGGAAGGGACTTTCTTATGCCAGTGTGCATAGCTGTGGGTTATACTGTCATACAGAAAGCTCAATGTAACACTGAGCTTTGTGTCAGTTCAAATAGGAGACTACCAGGGCTATCTGAGGGAATCTGTGGTGGTGAACCAGTCTAACTATGCAGAGGAGCAGCCACTATCTACATGGCTAGACAGCAGTTGAAATGTTCAGGTCAGTGTAGCCAAGGAACTGATTTTAAGATTTCTTTCTTTTTTTTTTTTTAAATATATTTTTATTGATTTTTTACAGAGAGGAAGGGAGAGAGATAGAGAGCCAGAAACATCGATCAGCTGCCTCCTGCACACTCCCCACTGGGGATGTGCCCGCAAGCAAGGTACATGCCCTTGATCGGAATCGAACCCGGGACCCTTGAGTCCACAGGCTGATGCTCTATCCACTGAGCCAAACCGGTTAGGGCAAGATTTCTTAAAATTGGTTTTTAGACAGCAAGCGGGGACGGGGAGAGAAACATTGATCAGCTGTGTCCCGCCTTGCCACACACAGCATGACCAATCTGGCAACCTGGTGCAAGGCAGGAAACCCAACCAACCACTTAAGCTACACTAGTCAGGGCAAGGAAATTAAGTTTAACATTACATTTTCATGGTTTGGTGGTGGTGGGGCTGCCATAATTGTTAGTGTACGCATGGACAGCTAAACTGTCCCTGCTCATGGAGTCCATGGTCCAATGGGGGAAAGCCACAAATAACCACACTTACCACACATGTTCTCTTGCCCAGCTAGACTCTGGACTTGGCATCCTCAAGTCCCACCAGATCATTCCTGTTGATGAGAATTTTTTGCCATTATCTCAGTCATTGCTTCACTATAAGATATGCTTGAGTAATTTCATACCTACAAAAGCGTTGCAAAGATGTTAGATAACCTCTTGCATAACCACTACATTTGTCAAACCTTGAAAACATTGGTATGATACAATTAACTAGGTGACATTTTATTTGGCTTTTCCACTAATGTCCTTTTCTGTTTCAGGATCCAATCCAGGATGTAATTATATATTTTCCGATGGTCTTACGCGACCCCTGTGAAAGGGTTGTTCCACCCCTAAAGGGGTCGCGACCCACAGGTTGAGAACCACTGTTTTAGAGCGAAATAGAGAAGGAAAGACAGAAACATTGATGTGAGAGAAACACATTAGTTGCCTCCTGCACATGCCCCAACCAGGGCCTGGCCTGGGGAGGAGCATGCAGTCGAGGTATGTGCCCTTAACCAGAAGTGAACCCGGGACTTTTCGGTCTGCAGGCTGACACACTATCCACTGAGCCAAGCCAGCTAGGGCCATTTTGCACATTTTTAGTACCTAGTATTTTGTCAGGGATATGACTACAAATTGAAAAGTTTGAACTGCATTGGTTTAACTTCAAAAATATTTTAACCAATTCTAAATTAACTGATGACAGTGCCACTTACAGATGCCTTGCTAATAGAGCCCCTTCATATTGATGTGTTTTTATAGCTGTTACATTTACAGTGATTCCATTTATAGGGGCCGATGCCTGATGACTTCATTATATCTGTAATGACACCTGAGCATTGGTCTGTTAAAAGTGTTTGTGTATGTGTGTGTGTTGCTCCATATTTTCATTTTACTTGCTAATTTTAATTGTGTTATTTTTTGTGGTTGCATTAGGCCAGTAGTTCTCAACCTTTTTTTGGCATCAGGACGCCTATATACTCAAACATTGAGGACCCCAAAGAACTTTTGTTAAAATGGATATATTTACTGATATTTATCTTTCGAAATTAAAACTGAGAAACTTAAAAATAGTAATTGATTTAAAAATGATAAACCCCCTGTTTGGGGGCAGCATCGGGAAGGTGGTGTGGAGACGGGGACGGGAGTCATGAGGGCCACCTACGTGGGCTCTGGGTGTGGGGTTCAGTCCTGGACGGGTGTCCCAACTGTGGCCACGTGGTCCCTGGGGCCCCCCTCCCGGGAATGGCTTGCTGCTCAGCCTCACCTTCCAGGTCCTGCCTCCGGAGCCCTGGGCACAGCCCGGCAGGACTCGGTGATTGTGGAAAAAGTGCAATAAACTGAAATGTCGGTCCGGCAAAAAAAAAATAAAAATAAAAATGATAAACCTATTATGTTAACCTATTTTTTAGCGGTGGCGGGGGAGCCTATTTTCCAAACAAAATAGTAACATTTTTGCAAGTCTTTGAAATCTTTGGCTTAATAGAGGATAGCTGGAGTCCCATCTGCTTCTGCATTAAATCTGTTTTCAATACTGTTGGGGTCCAGCCCCAGCAGGTCCAGGGGTTCCCAAAGGTGTGGACGGAGTCAGTGAAGAAGGAATAACACGGAGTCAGTGTTCAGTTGATCAGCATAGGTTCTCTTTATTGTCCTGTTAAATCTGTATTTATACCATTTGATCCTATAAGCATGCCTCTATAATCACATCATGGTACCACATTTTGGGTAACCTACAGTTCCTTGTTTCATTTCCATAGTTTCTTATCTGACCTTTGCCAAAAATCCTGTCTCTCTCTAGTTCTGTTGAGTTTAGTCCTGTCTATGTTAATCCTAACTCCAGGGAAATATCCTCACCTGGGGAAACAACCTTTCTCGGGGGGGTGGTCCTGGTTAAAACACATAGCGCTAAGAGGGGGAGCAAACATGCCATATACGCCAGATCCCTTGAAACATAAGCTGTGCAGATGTTTCTTCCCTGCAGCTACTGTGTCAAGCAGCAAGGGTGGACCGGCTTCTGGCACAATACATTGTTTTGGTTGAATATTAACGAGATAACCTAGCCCAGGGGTGGGCAAACTTTTTTGACTCGAGGGCCACAATGGGTTCTTAAACTGGACCGGAGGGCCGGGACAAAAGCATGGATGGAGTATTTGTGTGAACTAATATAAATTCAAAGTAAACATCATTACATAAAAGGGTACAGTCTTTTTTTTTTTAGTTTTATTGATTTCAAACGGGCGGATCCGGCCTGTGGTAGTTTTACTCATTTCAAACAGGCCGGATCCGGCCCGCGGGCCGTAGTTTGCCCATGGCTGACCTAGCCTCAGTCATCCCATACTTGAAAAAGAGGGGCATCTTAATACTTGTTTTCAGATAATTGTGGCTATTCTTTGATGCAACACCAAAACTCAACAAGTAGTAGTTTCTTAAAGATTAATTACAATGTGACATCTGAAATCCTATTAGTGAGCTTTTAATACTGTTACATTAAAATTCATTGGTCTGTCTTGCACTTTGGGTTTTTCCCCATGCATGATTTTGTAACATCAAGTGTTGACTATTTGGAAACACATGGTCAACCAAGTTTGGAGCTCTGAGATGACACATTTCACTAAATACTTGAAAAATCACATTTATTAATTTCATTAGGAAAGCGTTAAAGTGAAACTTAAGCAGATTTTGAAAATTTTAATTTTTTTGCTTAAAACCTCAAATTTTGTCATGGCAGCTAATACTGTCAATTGCTGCCGAAACCGGTTTGGCTCAGTGGATTGAGCGTCCGAAACCGGTTTGGCTCAGTGGATTGAGCGTCAGCCTGCGAACTGAAGGGTCCCAGGTTCGATTCCGGTCAGGGGCGTGTGCCTGGGTTGCGGGCACATCCCCAGTGGGGAGTGTGCAGGGGGCAGCTGGTCGATGTTTCTCTCTCATCGATGTTTCTAACTCTCTCCTTTCCTCTCTATAAAAACTCAATAAAATATATTTAAAAAAAAAAAAGAAAATACTGTCAATTGCTATCCTTGAAGTGACAGGCTTGATTTGCTCATTTTTTTGAGAAAATGCCTGCCAAACACACAGCCTGAATTATTGTTTGTCTGTTTTCTTCAAGTAAAAATGATGTTCCAACTCCTCATTAAGTGTGGGTTATGCATCAGTAGCTTCCCAAAGAATACAGTTTAGAAGCAGAGAAAAACATGCAACTTTAAGAGAAACCTGACATCTAGTGCCAGGTGACCAAGTTCAACATCAACAGCAATAAGTCATGTTGATAGTATGGACTCTGAATATGATGTGATGAGAATGGCACTTTACATCTGGTCTTAAAATCCATCACTCCACTCTACTGAGAAATACATCAGACATCCCAATTGAAGAAAAGGCTACAAAATACCTGACCAATCCTCAAAACTCAGACTCCTCAAAAACATGGATGTGAGTCCTAGCCGGTCTTGCACAATGGTTAGAATGTCTGCCCACTCACCAAAGGGTCTCAGGTTCGATTTCTAGTCAAGAGCATGTACCTGGGTTGCAGGTTCCATCCTGGCCCCAGTCAGGGAGTTCAAGAGGTAACCAATCGCCCTAACCAGTTTGGCTCTGTGGATAGAGCGTCGGCCTGTGGACTGAAAGGTCCCAGGTTCCATTCCGGTCAAGGGCATGTACCTGGGTTGCGGGCACATCCCCAGTGGGGGGTGTGCAAAAGGCAGCTGATTGATCTCTTATCGATGTTCCTAACTCTCTGTCCCTCCCCTTCCTCTCTGTGAAAAATCAATAAAATATATTTTTTAAAAAAGGTAACCAATCAATACATCTCACATTGATGTCTCTCCTCCGCCTCCACCTCCTTCCCTCCCACTCTTAAGAAGAAAAAAAAATCAATGGAAAGATTATCCTTGGGTGAGGATTAACAAAAGAACAAAAATGAGGGAAGTGAGAAAACTGTCAGAGCCAAGAGCCTAAGGAGATGCGGCAATTAAATCATGTGGGATCATGGGACATAAAAAGGACGGAAAACCAGGAATCTGAATGAAGTGTGGACTTTGCTTAATAAAAATGTATCAAGATTGGTTCATTAGTTGTAAGAAGAGTATTATATGCATGGAAGATGTAATGGGGAAACAGTATGGGAGAAGGTGCTGCTTTAGCTGTGCATAAGAGTTAGACAAGAATGGAGGAAGGCGCTCTCCGGGCAGAAGCAGCAGCTCCTGTCAAGATCTAGGGTAGGGATGAAATGTTTGAGGTCAGAAGGAAGGATAGTGGGGTTGGAGTGAACCAAGGGAGAATGGCAAGATGTTAGGGCAGCCGGCAAAGGCCAAAAGATACGGGCTCTTGTGTTTGATGGCATCTGAGGTGGATCAGCATTGATTTGGGGTTCAGGTCTATCTGGGAATGAATTTCAGCCATGCCATTTACTGCCTTTTGGTTGGGTTACCTAACTTCTCTGGGTGTCAGTTTCCCTGACTGTAGAAAGGGAGAAATTTTAATATATTTTACCTCGGTTTGCTGATTGGGACATACTAAGGCTCAGTAAATGCTAGTATCTTGAGACAAACAGGAGTCACAGAAGGATCCTCAAGCATTTGGAATGTGGGTAACATTTTACTGCCACTCACGGACTAAAGCAGCCCCGGAGTCCACCCCAGGAGCTGCCATTGCCGGAACTAGGCCTTGGATTCGCGTATTTTGTGCCCAAGAAAGGCAGGAAGAGGGATGCAGGACTTCAGCATCCCGCCTCCCAGCTTCAGAACCCCCGTCAGAGGAGAGCATAAATTTGACCGGCGTTCATTACGGCCAATCAGCTGCATGAAGGCAAGCCTGTAGGCCAATGGCGGGGTGGCATTCGCCGGACGCTAGAGGGCCTCGGCCGGGAAGGCAGCAGAGGGCGGGCCTCACGAGTGGCGGGCGCTCTGACCAATGGGCGGTGGATTCCTCTCCCCAGGGCCGGGCACTGGCAGACGCGGTGACGTCAGCGCGGGTCAGCGCGTTAGGAGAATCAGCGCGGCGAAGGGACCGGCGGGGCGCGGAGCTGTGGGAGGTGAAGAGCGGATTCTGTTCGCGGTCTGCGGGTATGGAGAACACTGGGGACGGGGAGTGGGGGGTGGTGGTCTGGGTGCGGCGTTTAGAGAGCGGAAAAGGGTCTGGGCCCGGGCCTGCGAGGGGCGTGGCGGCCTCGGGGTAGCTTGAGCAGAGACATGATGGGTTGGGGCCCCTGGAGCTATCTATGAAGGGGGCTCTCAGCGTCTGCCTTGGAGCTTATGCGTTGGTTGGGGGCGAAGGACAACGGAGAAGACAGATTGACTCTTTGCAGGTCCCGTTTGGGGTGAAGGAGACAGGGGTGGAGGTCTTTAACACCAGGAGGAGTGCCTTTGAGGAGAGGGAGGAGGTTAGTCTTGCTAGGACGGTGAAAGTCAGGGACAGGCAAGAATAGGTCCGAGGCTTACAAGAGTTCGGAAGCCATTGCCCATTTCCTGGGGAATTCAAGACGTGGGGAGCACCCCGCCGAGGAGGGTCTAAGAGACTAGCTGAGGTGTGGGGGGAATGGGTAAGGACGAAGAGGAGTTGGGGTTGGTGATGGGCAGGAAGGATGGGAGCCTGCTGAGGCTAGAACTAGGAAGTAGGGCAGGGAGTGTGGGAGGGCAGGGTTTGGGGCTGTGGCGTATGTGGGGGAACTTTTAGGAATGTGTGGGGCTCTGGGAGAAGCCTAGGAGTGTGAGGCAGAGAAAGGCTAGGGCAGTGCGTAAGGAGGTATATGTATGGCTGGTGGGAGTGATGGGAGCAAGGTGGCACGGGGGGCTGACGGACTCCGCGACCTTTTGGGTTGTTTGGTGTCAAAATGAGATGACATATGCAAGGACCCTTCCCAGAAACCCTGCAACTTCAGCGTGGAGTGATGTGAAACCTATGGTTGGTGAGCAGGTTGCGCTGTTTGCCAGGAATAATGGCTAGCATCTCACTCTTTCTTCCCTATTGCCCCGTCTCCTCCAGGGTCACTGGTAGGAGACTTCCCGAGGTCCTGTCCGCAGGCTGCAGTGACCGGGCTTTCACTGGAGCGGAAGCTGCTGGAAGGCAGACCGGCTACCATGTCCACATTCAGGCAGGAAGATGTGGAAGACCATTATGAGATGGGGGAGGAGCTGGGCAGGTGAGCAGGCCCCTCTGACAAGGCTCCGGGGTAGGAGAAAGGCACTTCGGGGTTTTCTGGACAGTATGTTCCCTTATGTCCTGTATCCTACTCTCCAAGAAGCGAGTCAAGTTCATGTGCCAGTGGAATGAGTTTGGGCTCTGGAATCAGACATCCTGGCTGAGAGTCCTTGCTCTGACATCCTTTGTGTATTTCCTTTGGGAAGAAACATAATTGAGTACCTGTGGCACCTAACACAATGCCTGGCATATGTAGGTATTAGCAGGTTTAGTTGGTTGAGGTCTGTCCCTCTCTTTAATTCTCTCTTATGGGGAGCGCTTGAGTCTCCCAGCTCTTGGCATTTCCAGGGAAGGCCTCCTGCCTGGGCCCAGTCTCCTGCCAATTGTGTAGCATTCTTATGGGAGAGAGAGGAGGTTTCCCTTGCCAACCTGGCAGCTGATTTCCTGCCTGGCTGGGCCTTGGATTGTCCCTTGGGAGCTTGCTCCCCCACTTGCCCCAGACCAGCCAGGCACCATCCCCCAACCCCCCATCCCCAGCCTGAAACCTTATTTGGTGAGTTTGCTGCTGGCCAAGGCCCCATGATGTCACCAGAAGGGAATGTAAATAACTGAGCAAGCCCTGCATCAGGCCTTGCAGGCTTCTTTGGGATTCTGAAGTCTCTCCTTCAGGAATTTCCTCTGTTTTGGTAGCCAATGAAGTCTCTCCCTCCCCTGCCTCCCAATCTCAAACTTTATTGTTGAAAATGTATGAGGAGCCCTAACCGGTTTGACTTAGTGGATAGAGCGTCGGCCTGCACTGAAGGGTCCTGGGGTTGATTCCGGTCAAGGGCATGTACCTTGGTTGCAGGCACATCCCCAGTGGTGGGTGTGCAGGAGGCAGCTGATCGATGTTTCTCTCCCATCGATGTTTCTAATTCTCTATCCCTCTCCCTTCCTCTCTGTAAAAAATCAATAAAATATATTTTAAAAAAAAGAAAATGTATGAGGATCTCCTGCTGAGGGTAGTTTGGCAAAAATCAGCAAAATGTCATATGTATATTCCCTTTAACTCACTGATTCTGCTGAATTAATTCAGTGGGAATATATACATACATGGCCCAATGACCTAGAAACAGGAATAATTGCTATAAAGATTTTTATTTTTATTTTATTTTTAAAATATATTTCTTTATTGATTTCAGAGAGAAAGGGAGAAGGAGAGAGAGATAGAAACATCAATGATGAGAGAGAATCATTGATCGGCTGCCTCCTGCACACCCCACAACCCAGGCATGTGCCCTTGGTTGGAATCGAACCTGGGACCCTTCAGTCCACAGGCTGATGCTCTATCCAATGAACCAAACCGGCTAGGGCAACTATAAAGATTTTATATGAGCAAAAGACGGGAAGCCTCTTCAGTGGCCATCACAGCACCTTGCATCGGTGGGTGGAATATTGTGCAGCCATTACAAGAGCCAGGCAGCCCTGGTTAGTGTGGCTTAGTTGGTTGGAACATCATCCCGTACACCAAAAGGTCTCGCAATCAGTTCCTAGTCAGGGCACATACCTAGGTTTCAGGTTCATTCCTTGGCCTCAGTTGGGGTGTGTATAGGAGGCAAATGATTCATTTTTCTTTCTCACATTGATGTCTCTCCCTGTCCCCATTCCCCTCTCTCTAAAAGTCAAAGAAAAACCAACAAAAGAGCTAGGCAACTTGTATAATGTGAGCCACATAGGAAATTTATTGCAATTTAATAAAAAATGTTAAAGCTGTGTCGATTTTAATATTTTTATGCCCTAGCCTGTTTGGTTCAGTGGATAGAGAATCGGCCTGCAGATTGAAGGGGCCCAGCATGATTCCAGCCAAGGGCGCATGCCCAGGTTGTGGGCTCGATCCCCAGTAGGGAGTGTGCAGGAGGCAGCCAATCAATGATTCTCTGTCATCATTGATGTTCTCAATAAAATATATTTAAAAATTTTTAAAAATAATTATAACAACATACTTTATTTAATCTGGTTGAATGTAATTAGCATTTTGCTTGTAATTGCTATAAAATTATTAGTGAAAAATTTTATCACTTTAAAAAAATAAATATTTTTATTGATTTCAGAGAGGAAGGGAGAGGGAGGGAGATAGAAACACCAGTGATGAGAGTCATTGATCGGCTGCCTCCTGCATACCCCTAACTGGGGATCGAGCTGGCAACCCAGGCATGTGCCCTGACTGGGAATTGAACCATGACCTCCTGATTCATAGGATGACACTGGAGCACTGAGCAACACCAGCTGGGCCCCCCCCCTTTTTTTTTATAGGAAGCCTTTGTGTATTTCCTTTATAGGAAATCTAGTGTGTATTGTATGATCACAGCACATTTCAATTTGGATGGGCCTGATAGCTGCTGTGGCCAGTGGCTGCTACCTTGGACAGCACCACTCCATGTAATGGTCCAGAACATTATCAGAGATAAATGAAGTGAAGAATTAATGACACACATCACTGCATACCACGTTGCAACTTGTATAAATTGTAGATGTCCTTTGGACATCTGAGTTCTATCTTTTTTTTTTTTAATTGATTTCAGCCCTGGCCGGTTTGGCTCAGTGGATGGAGCGTCAGCCTGCGGACTCAGGGGTCCCGGGTTCGATTCCAGTCGAGGGCATGTGCCTTGGTTGTAGGCACGTCCCCAGTGGGGAGTGTGCAGGAGGCAGCTGATCGATGTTTCTCTCATCGATATTTCTGGCTCTCTGTCCCTCTCCCTTCCTCGAGATAGAAACATCAACATCAATGTGAGAGAATCATTGACTGGCTGCCTCCTGCCTGCTCCCTACTGGGGATTGAGCCTGCAACTCAGGCATGTGCCCTTGACCGGAATCGAACCCAGGACCCTTCAGTCCACTGGCCAAATCGCTATCCACCAAGCCAAACCAGCTAGGGCAGAGTTCTGTCTTTATGTTATTTCCATTTATCTACTAAAGGACCGAAGAATCAGGTGCCATTATTCCTATTTTATTTTTTTAAAATATTTTTTAATTGATTTCAGAGAGGAAGGGAGAGGGAGAAAGATAGAAACATCAATAATGAGAGAGAATCATTGATTGGCTGCCTCCTGCACGCCCCCTACGGGGGATTGAGCCTGCAACCTGGGCATGTGCCCTTGACTGGAATTGAACCTGAGACCCTTCAGTCTGCAGGCCGATGCTCTATCCACCGAGTGAAACCAGCGAGGGCCATTATTCCTATTTTAGATAAACTGGGTCTGAGAGAAGGGAAGCAGCTTGCCCAAGGCCACACAGACTGTAAATGGCCAAGTAGGATTCAGATCTTGAGACCAAGCCTCGCTGGCTCCAAAGCCGCCAGGTGTGCTGGAACCAGAGATGGGCATCTGGCTTCCACCTACTCATTAGCCAGCTCCACCCCCATGTCCTGGTAATGGACCTATTAGATGCCGAAATGAAGATAAGCCCCTGTGGGTTGGGAAATGAGTGTGTCCTTATGCCCCAAACACCATCCTCCTCCAAATGTTCACTTTCTGCCTCTGAAGTTGGCCACCATGATAGGCTGTCTGTTTCAGAGGTGGGAATTATACTGGAATCCAGGTTGGAGTAGATGTAGGTCTTCCCTAGCCTGGCTATTTACTGTCTTTGGGGAATTAGCTGCAGGAATCACTGTGGTGAGAGGGATTACAAGTAAAGCAATCCCACATTTTCCTGTCCCAGGAGTCATGGGGCTGAATTAACTGGGAACTTGTTTCGTGTGTGTGTGTGTGTGTGTGTGTGTGTGTGTGTGTGTTCGTTCTTTCTTTCTAATTCAAGTTCACATCGACCATCTCAGGAAGTAAATTAATTTGTGTGTTGATGAGTCTGTGGACTTCTACCCTGGCTTTCATGTCATGGAGTGGTGTGTGCATTTGTATTAGCTCAGACATCCATTGCAAAGTGCCACAGACTGGGTGATTGAAATAGAGATTCATTATCTCCCAGTTCTGGAGGCTAGAAGTCTGAGATCAAGATGTCATCAGGGTTGGTTCCCTCTGAGGTCTGTCCTCTTGTCTTTTCTTTTTTTAAAAATTCTCACCGGAGGATATGTTTTTATTGATTTCTAGAGAGAGAGGGAGGGAGAGAGAATGAGAAACATCGCTGTGAGAGAGAAAGATCCATTGGTTGCCTTTCATACATGCTCCTACCGGGGATCGAACTCACAATCTTGTGTATGGGACGACACTCCAACTAACTTAGCCATCTGGCCAGGGCTGTCCTCTTGTCTTGTAGATGGCTGTCTTCTTCCTATGTGTGTCTGTTTCCTAATCTCTTGTGTTTTTTTCCCCTAATCTCTTCTTATGAGAAGACCAGTCATATTGGATTAGAACTTATCCCAGTGACTTCATTTTCACTTAATTACCTCTTTAAAAGGCCCCATCTCCAAATAGTCATATCCAAGGTGCTGAGTATTAAGGCTTCACATGGATTTTGGGGGGGCACAAGTCAGCCCATAGCATCTTTTTTATCTATTCCCATGAGCTCTGTCTTAGTTGTCTTTATTTGTTAGTTCATTTTGGGATAAAGTTAAAGGAAAAGTATCTTTGTATTTGAAAACTAGTGGCCTGGTGCACAAATTCGTGCACATTGAAAGGAAATTAATTAGAAGAAATATTTTAATATCACTATTCGCCCTTTCTCTATAATAGAAGTGTCAACCAAATTCATGATGGACAATGACAGATCAAAACACACGCGTGCGATTGGCGCCAGCGAGAGCTTTATATATATACAATAGATAGATAAACTTGCTTAATTAGGCCTGCTTTCTGATTTAGCTAAACTTTTTCCAGCCCAGTGAAGCACCCCAACTTCTCCTTCAGGTAATTGTCAGCAACACAACAGTAAACATCAGCATGAAGCAGATTATTATTATAGATCACGCAGGGAGAACAAAGGGTAAAATAACTACAGCAGTATTTGACTATTCTGCGCAGTGAGAAAACCTGAAGTCATTTTCAAGGTCCACCATTTCTTCTTTTCAGTCGGATCAAGTTTCTAAGACTTTTAAATCTCCATTTTCTGGCTAATGAAAAGAAAATAGGATTCCACCGAGTCTCCTGTCTCCCTACTCCAGGACTTCTGGGAGGATCACATGAGATGAGGCACGAGAAAACGCTTCACAGACATTTGGTTAAAGTGTGACATCTTTGCACCTGGCTTTAGAGCAAGTTGTGTTCCTGGACTGAAGAAATTGCAAGGAGGCTAGTTGTCGCTAGGGAGAGGAAGCTGGGCGTTGCTATGTGATGTCATTACCTGGTGCCGAAAGTGACTGTTTGCTGGCTGGGCTGGGCTGTGAGCCACATTTTGTGCCATGGGATCTCGGCAGTGTTGGCTACGATTTGGTGGGCTATTGCTAAGGGTGGTGGTGGGGCCTGTGTCCCACTTGGGGGAAGCAAGTGTTGCTTTGTGGGCACCAGGTCTGCGGTGCCGTTTCTCTGTAAATGGCCAGTGTGCATCACGGCAGCTCCTGCATTGAGCATCTGCCCCCTGGTGGTCAGTGTGTGTCATAGCGACTGGTCGGGTGGTCGGATACTTAGAATATTAGCCTTTTATATATATAAATTAGGCCATGTGTTCAGCACTCACTTAGCCCAGCATTCCTGGCACAGGTGAACATTTGGCATTCGCTGTCATTACCGCCAGGGAATCATTGTGGGATGGAATGTGGGCCTGGAGGAGTTAGTTTGGATGTTGGCAGAGGGGAGGGAGAAAAGCATTTCAGTGTGAGGCAAGAACATAGATACCCACGGGACTGTTTTGGTGGATTCATGGTGGTGAGACCTAATTAGGGACACCACCTGTCACGTCTAACTTGTGCCCTCGACTTTTAGATTAGTATTTTAGTTTCCTGTTGCTGCTGTAACAAATTGCCACAATTTAGTGGCTTAGAAAAACACATGTTCATTATCTTAAAGATCTGGGATTCAGCCCTAGCTGGTTTGGCTCAGTGGACAGAGCATCGGCCTGCGGACTAAAGGGTCCTGGGTTCGATTCCGGTCAAGGGCATGTACCTTGGTTGTGGGCACATCCCCAGTAGGGGGTGTGAAGGAGGCAGCTGATCTGTTTCTCTCTCATCAATATTTCTAACTCTCTGTTCCTCTCCCTTCCTCTCTGTAAAAAAAATCAATAAAAAATATATTAAAAAAAAAAGATCTGGGATTCAGGAGTTGAAATGGCCTGGCTGGTGTGGCTCAGCCTGGGTTGCCAGCTTAAATCCCCAGGCGGGGGCTTGCAGGAGGTGGCTGATCGATGGTTCTTTCTCAGCATTGATGTTTCTCTCCCTCTCCCTTATATATATATATATATATTTTTTTAAAGGAGCTGAAATGGATCTGCAGGATTGGTTTCTCTGGAGGCTCCAGGGAGAATTGTTTCTGGCCTTTTGTAGAAGCATCGCATCCTGGGCTCGAGGCCTCTCCTTCCATCTTCACAGCCAGCAGTGTAGCTTCTTCCATTCCTCTGACCCTCTTGTCGCCCTCTTATGTGGACCCTGTGATGACACTGGGCACCCCCTGGTAATCCAGGATTATTTCATCTCAGGGTCCTTAATTCCACCTGCAAAGTTTTTTGGGTTTTTTTGCAATGTGAGGACACATTCATAGGTTGCCTGGATCAGACATCTTTGGAGGGGTTGTTATTCAGCTTACCATGATCGGAAATAATTTTGTCCATCTTGAACTTGCCCCACCTTTTTATTTTTATTTTATTTATTTATTTTTATTTTTAAAGTGCGGGCAAAATATATTGAAGAAAAAAATAATTTGGACATTTGATAGCTCTCTGGAGTGCATTACATAGAATTTATCTCTCTTTTAAATAACAGCTACCTTGCCCTAGCCAATTTGGTTCAGTGGATAGAACATTGGTGTGGATTGAAGGGTCCCAGGTTCGATTCTGGTCAAGGGTATGTACCTTGGTTGCAGGCTCGATCCCTAGCCCTGGTCGGAGTGTGTGTGGAGGCAACCAGTCGATGTGTCTCTCACATCGATGTTCTCTCTCTCCCCCTTCCTTCCATCCTCTCTAAAAATCAGTGGGAAAATACACTCGTGTGAGGATTAATAAATAACAGCTATCTTCAGATATAATTAACATAGCATACAGTTACTCATTTAAAATGTATAATTTCATGATCTTTAGTGTATTCACAGTGTTCTGCAACCATCACCACTATTATTAGAACATTTCATCTCCCCATTAGCAGCCACCCCATCCCCTTTCCCCAGCCCCTGACAACCACTAACCCAGTTCTGTCTCTGAATTTGCCTGTTGACATTTCACATACATAGAATCACACGCTGTGTGGCCTTTTGTGCCTGGCTTCTCTCACTAAGTGGCATGATTTCAGGGTCCATCCACATTGTAGCGAGCGTCAGTGCTTCACTCCTTTTCATGGTCACATAATGTTCCCCTGTGTGGATGGACCACATCTGTTCATGTGTTGATGGACAGAAACGTGTTTTGGCTGTTGGGAATCATGCTGCTATGAACATTTATGTGCAGGTTTTTGTGCAGACACATGTTTTCATTTCTCTTAGATACATACCTAGGCATGGAATTGCTAGGTCAGATGGTAATTCTATGTTAACCATTTGAGGAACCACCAGACTTTTCCACAGCAGCTGCCCTATTTTGCATTCCTACCAGCTGTGTGTGCACGTTCTAATTTCTCCACATCCTCACTCTTCTCTTGTTTTGAAAGTTGTGTGCATTTTTGACCCTGGCCAGGTAGCTCAGTTGGTTAGTGTCATGCAATACTCCAAGGTTGCAGGTTGGATCCCCAGTCAGGGCATATATAAGAATCAGAGAATGGCTGAAACCGGTTTGGCTCAGTGGATAGAGCGTCGGCCTGTGGACTGAAGGGTCCCAGGTTCGATTCCGGTCAAGGGCATGTACCTGGGTTGCAGGCACATCCCGGGTGGGGGATGTGCAGGAGGCGGCTGATCGATGTTTCTCTCTCATTGATGTTTCTAACTCTCTATCCCTTTCCCTTTCTCTCTGTAAAAAAATAAATAAAATATATTTAAAAAAAAAAAGAATCAGAGAATGCATAAATGAGTAGAACAACAAATCAGTTGTTCTACTTTCTTTTCTTGTTTCTCTTTCTTTTTTCTTAGTTTTTTAAAATAATGAAATATCCTATAAAAAGTTGAGTCAGTATGGAATTTTTAAAAAATATATATTTTATTGATTTTTTTACAGAGAGAAAGGGAAAGGGATAGAGAGTTAGAAACATCAATGAGAGAGAAACATCGATCAGCTGCCTCCTGCACACTCCTACTGGGTATGTGCCCACAACCAAGGTACATGCCCTTGACCAGAATCAAACCTGGGACCCTTCAGTCTGGAGGCCGACGCTCTATCCACTGAGCCAAACCAGCCAGGGCTCAGTATGGAATTTTATCAGATAAATAAGAAACCCTTTTTGCTGCCCTTATTTCCTCAATCCCAGTCCTCAGAGATGGCTTTTGTTAACAGCTTGGTCTGTGTCTTTCAGACCTTATTTTCTGCATATACGTACATAAATACATCTGTATGTATAGATAATACATACCATTTTTAAACAAAAAGATCTCATCCTGTATGTCATTTTGCAGGTGGCTTTTTTCACTGAGCTTAAAGAGTCGTTTTCATTCTTTTTCATGATGGTGTAAGATTCCACTGGATTTATTTCCATGATGGATTTCAGTTCCCTCTTGGTAAACATTGAGCTGTTTTTATTTTTTTCACTGTTGCAGAAATGCCAGGCAGCCATTGTGTTTTGTGCGCTTTGCACTCCCATAGCAGCATACCTACTGGGTACATCTTGGACGCAGTGGGGACTTGCACCTACGTGGTGCCAGGAGCTCGGAGAGTGCTGCCCCAGGAGATGGTGGCGGGCCTAGGTCCCTCTTGATCAGCCATGGGCAAACTACAGCCCGTGGGCCGGACCCGGTCCGTTTGAAATGAATAAAACTAAAAAAAAAAAGACCGTACCCTTGTATGTAATGATGTTTACTTTGAATTTATATTAGTTCACACAAACACTGCATCCATGCTTTTGTTCCAGCCCTCCGGTCCAGTTTAAGAACCCATTGTGGCCCTCGAATCAAAAAGTTTGCCCACCCCTGCTCTTGATGCTCTGCTCACCTCCCTTCCCGCTCTGTCCCTGCAGCGGCCAGTTTGCCATTGTGCGGAAATGCCGGCAGAAGGGCACTGGGAAGGAGTATGCAGCCAAGTTCATCAAGAAACGCCGCCTGTCATCCAGCCGGCGGGGGGTCAGCCGGGAGGAGATCGAGCGGGAGGTGAACATCCTGCGGGAGATTCGGCACCCCAACATCATCATGCTACATGACATCTTTGAGAATAAGACCGATGTGGTGCTCATCCTGGAGCTGGTTTCTGGTGGGGAGCTCTTTGATTTCTTGGCCGAGAAGGAGTCGCTGACAGAGGATGAGGCCACTCAGTTCCTTAAGCAGATCCTGGATGGCGTCCACTACCTACACTCCAAGCGTATCGCTCACTTTGACCTCAAGGTAAGCCCCACTGGGAAGCTCTGGACCAGGCTGGCTGGCCGGTGCAGGTGAGGATGGGGGCTCAAGAGAAGGTTCTACTTTCATGGGCACAGAATGTACACTTCCTGGACCTGTGATGCTCTGGGAGTTGAGGAGAGAGACCTGCTCAGGCCTGGACCCTCAGGGTGGCATCAGCCTGCCCACACCCCACGGGCTGGGAGTTGGGGGTTGCCTAGGGAAATTCCAGGTGCTGTTCCCAGAGATGCCAGGCCAGCAGAAGCAGCAGATCCTCCTCCCACTGCCCTGCTCTCCCTTCCCCCACCCAGCCCGAAAACATCATGCTCCTAGACAAGAACGTGCCCAACCCACGCATCAAGCTTATTGACTTTGGCATCGCTCACAAGATTGAAGCCGGGAACGAGTTCAAGAACATCTTTGGCACCCCAGAATTTGTTGGTAAGGCCCTGCCTGTGCATCAGGGGCTGGGGCTTGGTAGGTGTATTCAAGGATCTCCAGCAGTGTAGGGTGAGTTGGGCCTGGTCCCTGGATGCCTGACTCATGGCCCTCAGTGCCCTGGCATTGGGCAAGGGGAAGCTCAAGACCTCAGGTTGGGCCCTGCCGGTGTTTAGAGCATTGACCCACGTACCATAGGGTTGCAGGTTCAATTCCTGGTCAAGGGCACATACCTGGGTTGTAGGTTCAATCCCCTGGCCTCGGTGGGGGCACTTGAGGGAGGCAACCAATCGTATCTCTCTCACATCCATGTTTCTCTCTCTCTTTTTTTCCTTCCCCCTCCTCCCTCCCTCCTTCCTTTCACTCTCTCTAAAAATCAATGGAAAAATATATCCTCAGGTGAGGATTAACAATAACAAAAAGACCTTGGGTTGGTGCTATCACTGTCCCAGCCTTCCTGCCTCAGAGCTGGCCTTGCCTGTGCATTTGTGGGTGTTTTCCCGAGTGACCCCCCAGTTACCTTCAGGGGTGGGGGGGACTGTTGGCTATGTGCCCAGTGTGGCCTTAGATGCAACCAGTTCCTGACCCTGTATCTTCTGTTTCCCTGTCCCTGCAGCTCCTGAGATTGTCAACTATGAACCCCTGGGTCTGGAGGCGGACATGTGGTGAGTCAGGGGTAGCTTTGGGGACCCAGGGCTGCCCAGCGCTGAGTCCAGCATACACACCTGGGCCCACTCCTTGTGGAATCTCCCCCTGCTCATCCCCAGGAGCTACAGGCTGGGGCATTGCCCATCCCATGGTCTTGGTGCTGTGGGGCACAGGCAGGACGGACCATTGCTTTAGAATAGGGTCAGCAAAATGCAGCCCAATGGCCAGAACAGGCCTAAGAGCTGGGAGTGGTGGTCTCAGTTTCTTTAAAAGGGGCATTAAAAACAGCAGAGCCCTAGCTGGTTTGGCTCAGGGATAGAGTGTTGGCCTGCAGACCGAAGGCTCCTGGGTTCGATTCCGATCAGGGAACGTACCTCAGTTGCAGGCTCCTCCCTGGCCGAGCCCTGGTCAGGGCTTGTGCAGGAGTCAACCAATCGATGTGTTTCTCTCACATGGATATTTCTGTCTGTCTTTCCCTCTCTCCTCCACTCTCCCTAAAAATCAATGGGCAATGTCCTTGTCCTCGGGTGAAGATAAAAAAAAAAAAAGACAAATATGCGGCAGACCATTAGTGGCCCATAAATATTCACAGTGCCCTGTCTGACCCTCTATAACAGGGGTCTTCAAACTACGTCCCGTTGAAAACGTTTATCCGGCCCGCTGGGTGTTTTTGCCGCCGTTGTGTGCATAGGAATTTGTTCATAGTTTTTTTTTAAACTATAGTCCGGCCCTCCAACGATCTGAGAGACAGTGAACTGGCCCCCCCTTTAAAAAGTTTGAGGACCCCTGCTCTATACAGTTTGGGAAAGGGTTGGAAAGGCATTAACAGGAATGGTGGTGGCAACTGTGTTCCGGAACCACAGTGAGTAAGTGGTGGAAAACAGTTACACGTGGGGATCGGCCGGGGCCATTAAAACCTTCTTGGTTTCTGTGGCACGGGTAGCGTAACTTAAAGCATGTAGGCTGCTTATGCTGCTTGGCGCTACTGCTGGGATCTCATCCCCTAAAGCCCCTGCGTCTGCCTGACTTGGCGAGTCACACCAGTCCTCTTCATGAAAGAGTATGCTCGTGACCCGTCTCTTAACTAGCAGAGTTTTCTTCTAAGGTGAGAAGGGACTAATTCTTGGGCTCCTGGCCTGCTGTTAAGCACTGCACATGCGCTGTCTGAACCCACCGTGGGGAGCGGGTGCAGCAGGGCGGAGGAGGAGGAGGACCCGGACCTGGACCTTTGCACTGTGCAGCTCTGGCTATGCAGGCATAGCCAAGGGCAGATGCGTTCTGTTAACTGCAATTAGGTCCTTTAGTTTGTATTTTTCTTGTCTTATCCAGTGATGGACATGATGCGTTAAGTTTCACTAGTGAAAGGCAGTGTCAAATATTTGGGTTGTATTATCCTGTGGTGGGTGTTATTGTCATGTGAACATCATGGGCAATTGATGAATTTTGATTGTTAGTAGTTATTTCATAAAAGTGCAAAATAACTTGGAATTTCTGATTGGAGTGCAGCAAGGCAAAAGCAATAAAAACAGACCAGAACACTAGCTAAGGACTCATTTGTGTGACTGCTTTGTAAAGCATCCTGGGGCTATAGCGAAAGTAACAGTAAGTCAGTTCTTTTACGATGTTCTTGAGACTATATTCAATTTTTTAAAAAACTAATAGGCTTTATTTTTTAAAAAAAATATTTTACTGATTTTTTTACAGAGAGGAAGGGAGAGGGATAGAGAGTTAGAAACATCGATGAGAGAGAAACATCAATCAGCTGCCTCCTGCACATCCCCCACTGGGGATGTGCCCGCAACCCAGGTACATGCCCTTGACTGGAACCGAACCTGGGACCTTTCAGTCCGCAGGCTGACGCTCTATCCACTGAGCCAAACCGGTTTCGGCTAGAACAGTTTTTAACAAATATATATTTTTATTGATTTCAGAGAGGAAGAGAGAGGTAGAGAGAAATAGAAACATCAATGATGAGAGAGAAGCATTGATTGACTGCCTCCTGCACAACCGCACTGGGGATTGAGACTGCAACCTGGGCATATGCCCTGACCGGAGTCAAACTGTGACCTCCTGGTTCACGGGTCGATGCTCAACCACTGAGCACTGGTTAGGGCATAGAACAGATTTTGATTTACAGAAAAATTAAGCAGATAGTACAGAATTCCCAAATAATCACTCCAAATCCCCATTACACACACAGTTTCTCCTGTTATTAACGTGCATTAGTATGATTTATTTGTTGCACAATTAACGGATACGTTATTAATGGACATGATATTGACACATTGTTACTATTAATTAAAGTCTTTGTTTATTCATATTTCCTAATTTTTAACCCAGTGTTCTTTTTTTTAATCCATTGTCCTAGGATCCCATTTAGGATACCATATGACATTAAGTTGTCATGTGTCTTTAGTCTTCTCTTGGTTGTGACAATTTCTCAGGCTTTCCTTGTTTTCAGTGACTGTTACAGGCTGAATTGTATGCCTCCAAAATTCGTATCTTGAAATTCTAACTTCAGTATCGCCTCTTTGGAGATAGTGTCTATAAAGAAATAAAATGAGGTCATTAGGGTAGGCCCTAACCATTACGCCTGATGTCCTTATAAGAAAAGAAGATTAGGACACAGAAGGAAGAGCATGTAAAGATGTGATAGAATAGTAAGAAGCTAGGCCCTAACCCAGCCGTGGGCAAACTATGGCCCGAGGGCCGGATCCGGCCCGTTTGAAAATAAAACTATTGAAAAAAAAAGACCGTACCCTTTTATGTAATGATGTTTACTTTGAATTTATATTAGTTCACACAAACACTCCATCCATGCTTTTGTTCCGGCCCTCCGGTCCAGTTTAAGAACCCATTGTGGCCCTGGAGTCAAAAAGTTTGCCCACCCCTGCCCTAACCGGTTTGGCTCAGTGGATAGAGGGTCGGCCTGTGGACTGAAGGGTCCCAGGTTCGATTCTGGTCAAGGGCATGTACCTTGGTTGCGGGCACATCCCCAGGAGGGGTTGTGCAGGAGGCAGCTGATGGATGTTTCTCTCTCAGCGATGTTTCTAACTCTCTATCCCTCTCCCTTCCTCTCTGTAAAAAACTCAATAAAATATATTTAAAAAAAAAAGATAGTAAGAAGCTAGGAAAATTCCAGGGCAGGCGGAATAAGGAAACTAAGACAGATAAGTAGCAGTTTGCAGCCACCTAGTAAATCCTATCTTCCTTAAAACAAGGACATTTAAGAGTAAATGGTTTGCACTTCTCCTCCCCAGCCAGAGGGTAAATAGCTTAAGTCATCCTATTTAGGGAGACAGATAACAGAAATCCAATTAGTGCCGTTTGCCAACTACAACCAAAGGGTAGACAAATGAAGGGAATAAATCTCATTTTGGTACATCAGCATAAAGCTGATGAATAGTCTATTGATTCTCCCCTAACACCTCCCCTAAATGCCCAGCCTTTAAAATCCCCTGAAAATGAAGGTCCCAGCGCGTCCTCCCTCTGGGAGCATACCTGTGCCGTTCCCTCCTCCTCCTCTCCCCACAGGCACGTATCCCCTAATCTCTAAGGGATCCCATGAAATTTACAACTGGGGGGAAATGGTCCTTGTTTCACTGTCCTCAGTGTGTTTCTGCTGTGGTCAATACATTATTGCTTGCTTTTCTATAAAAAACAACACAAAAAACTGTTTGCCGATCCTTCTGGCCCTGTGCTGGGTCCCAGGTCTGCAGGGACTGTGGGCCATGGTGCTGTTTGCCCTGCCCTCACTGTGGCCCCTTTGATCCTTGACAGGAGGGTGTGGCCAAAGGTGTTTAAGTAGCCAGTCCTGAGACCCCAGGGCAGGAGAAGGGGAGCAGGGCTGACAGCCTGCTGTCCAGCTGGCCCAGAAACCTTGGGCTTACAGCGTCCCCATGTGGGCTCTGGGCCCCTGCCCTGTAGAAACTCTGGGAGTCAGGGTGCTGCACCCCGCAGCTAAGCTGACCTTCCTCTTCTCATGTGTTCTCTTCTAGGAGCATTGGTGTCATCACCTATATCCTGTGAGTACCCGCCTGACACTTCCTGCTGCCCCCCTATCATTATGTTTTAGGAAATTCCAAGGGTTATGGGAGCCATATATCCAAGGACCAGGCTGAAGACCAAATATATGTTTTGTACCATAAATTAGTATCTATTGCCCAGAGCCCCACAGGGGTGGTGGTGTGGCCCACGCAGTGCAGAGTATCAGGAAGCAGGTGACACCTGTGTGTGTCATCACCAGTGATGCCAACCTTGACGGTGTGCTAGGTGGCATCAGTCAAGATTCTCTTGGAAAGTGACTGTTTTTTCCACTGGAATCACTAAATGTTCTGGGGCAGATTCTCTGAGATTGTACATCTACATAGATACTTTGAGCTTCCACAAGGATTTTCACTCACAGGTTTTAGCATCTATCTTAGCTGGGCATTGACTGCTTACTGCCTTCTGGTTGGCAGCCAGGGCGGGGGCTGGTTGGAAGGTCCAGGAAATGCATGTGTGGGATGGTTAGGGCTCAAGGTCTGTCTTCCTCTGTTGGCCCCTTCGTGAGCACTTCTCCGGGCAGCAGCCTGGTGATGGAACAAACACAGGGGACACTGAGCCCCATGTTTGTCTTCCAGTTTGAGTGGCGCATCCCCATTCCTGGGTGAGACCAAGCAGGAGACCCTGACCAATATCTCAGCCGTGAACTATGACTTCGATGAGGAGTACTTTAGCAACACCAGCGAGCTGGCCAAGGACTTCATCCGCCGGCTGCTTGTCAAGGACCCCAAGTAAGCACAGGCCGGGCAGAGGGGTCAGGGAGCAGCCCCGTGGGAAGGCCAAACGAGTCTCCCTGGAATGGATGGTGTGGCCGAGAAGACCTCTCTCCAAGTCACCACGTTTTCGTAACTGGCTTCTGCTTTGGGCTGGAGATAGCAATGGATGGCTTAGGTTGGCCCACACTGTGTCTTAAGAAGTTTTTTTTTTTTTAAATATATTTTATTGATTTTTGACAGAGAGGAAGGGAGAGGGATAAAGAGTTAGAAACATCGATGAGAGAGAAACATCGATCAGCTGCCTCTTGCACATCCCCCACTGGGGATGTGCCCGCAACCAAGGTACATGCCCCTGACCGGAATCGAACCCGGGACCCTTGAGTCCACAGGCCGATGCTCTATCCACTTAGCCAAACCGGTTAGGGCAAGAAGCTTTAATTCATTGCCAACTTTAAAATTGGGGTTTCACATGAAATTCCAGGTTGCTACTTTTTTTTTTTTTTAGGAAAAAAATCCCAAAGTCCTGGCAGCACAGAGCCTCCATTCACAGGGGGGTGCGCTCTGTGGCCGCAGCCCTCCCTGTGTATTCTGCCCATTCTTGTTGCCTCCGGCCCCTCCTGTGTGTACCTGAGTTGTGAGCTATTCGTTGTTTGACCCCAGTGTTAGGTCTCGACCCTCAGGGAATACCGAGAACCTGAGCCTATGCCCCCAAAGGTGCCTTGACAGGCTCCCTGTGGCTGGCTTAGCAGAGTGGGTGCCTGGATTGTGTGTATAATTTCAAGGTCATCTCAGGGACTCGTGGCCAGGCTGGAGGGTGAACTTAGGAGTTGGCGGTCCTCAGGGACAGGTGTCTGAGCCAGCCCTGGACGGGCTGCAGAGAGCAAAACGGGGGCAGGGAGAGCCTGGAAAACCCCTTCCCGGCTCGCTGCTCCGTGGGGGAGGACGGTGCAGATGGCACACATGTGACTAACCCGGGCTGGGGGGGTGCTTTTCCAGGAGGAGAATGACCATCTCCCAGAGCCTGGAGCATTCCTGGATCAAGGTGAGGTGGGGGCTGCTCCCCCTGAGGGATGGGGGTCGTGACAAGCCCTCAGCATCCAGGGAGGGTCGCCAAAGTGGTCGTCTGGGCAGTGGGAGATGAGGTGCCCCCTGAAATGGTGGCAGAGCCATCTCTCCGAGGCATCCACTGGCACCCTTGGTCCCTCTGTGCACGCACCTGGGCCCCCTCCCACAGAAACTTTCAGAAGGGGTCACCTCTAGGCCAAAGTTGGCAGCCTTCTGTAAAGGGCCTATCACTATATGTTTTGCTCTGTGGTCCCTGACATCAGTATTCAGCTCTGCCTCCGTATCAGGAAAGCACCGTGACATATGCATGCAAATGAGCATGTCTGTGTGCCAACAAAACTTTATTTACAAAAGCAAGCAGAGGGCTGAATGTGGCCCTCGGTGGTCAACCACCTGCCCCCTGTTCCAGGCTGTGTTCTCTCTCCCCCTGCAGGCGATCAGGCGGCGGAATGTGCGGAGGGAAGACAGTGGCCGGAAACCGGAGCGTCGGCGCCTGAAGACAGCCCGCCTCAAGGAGTACACTATCAAGTCCCATTCGAGCATGCCCCCCAACAATACCTACATCAACTTCGAGCGCTTCTCCAAGGTACTGGAGGAGGTGGCGGCGGCCGAGGAGGGCCTGCGTGGGCTGGAACACAGCCGGCGGCTCTTCCATGAGGACATCGAGGCCCTGACAGCCATCTATGAAGAGAAGGAGGCCTGGTACAGGGAGGAGAACGAGAGCATTGGCCAGGACCTGCGACGGCTGCGGCAAGAGCTGCACAAGACCGAGGCCCTCCAGCGGCAGGCCCAGGAAGAGGCCAAGGGTGCCCTGCTAGGGGCCAGCGGGCTCAAGCGCCGCTTCAGCCGCCTTGAGAACCGCTACGAGGCTCTGGCCAAGCAGGTGGCCTCCGAGATGCGGTTTGTGCAGGATCTTGTACGCGCCATGGAGCAGGAGAAGCAACAGGAGGTGGAATGTGGCCTCCGCTAGAGCCACGTGGAGGGTGGGTCCAGAGGGTTCTGGTGGTGGGTGTCCCCTTCACAGCCCTGGAGCCATGCCCCTCTGTCTTCATTCTCTGGCTCTAGAGAGTTCCCGGGCTGGGGCTGAGATGGGAAGAGGCTGGACTGGGTGGGATGTGCTTCCTGAGGCCCAGAATTCACTGCTGAGAGGAGGGGCTTGGGCGGCTCTGCCCCAGGAAGACGATGCTGATCTGGGCAGCCTCTGCACAGCCTGCCTCCCCTGGCTTAGCCTCCCTTACCCCCCACACACCTCTCTCTTTCTCTCTCTCATTCTCACAATGGTGACAGGGGGTGGGGTGGTGGTGGCGCTTCTGGGGTAGTGTCATTTCTGGAACTCTGAACTCTCTGTAAGGGGGTGGTACATCCAAGATGGACTGGCCGTGTGGACACACATGCTTCATGCCTGGCCCGGTGGCAGGGAGGCAGCCTTCATGTCTCGGGTCAGGGGGCTGCAGGGCAGGCAGAGTACATGGAGCAGGGCCTGGCCACCATCTTCAGGCCCTCCCTGCCCATCCAAGCGCACCCAGCCTCGGGGCGGGTTTCCGAGGGCCCCTGCATGCCCCCGGGCTCGGAATCGCAGGGGCCTCTGCTGGATATGGGCTCTCCTGCGAGCTGAACGGAAATAAAGCCCGATTCTGACATTTAGCCGTTGTCTGTGCCTGGGCCAGCTTTGGGTCACCTGGTGCCTGGGTTGTGAGCTCGATCCCCCTCTCGAGATGGGAGGTGGCTCCTCCAGGGTCAGTGGTGGAGGGGGCCTCTGAACACTGTTCTCCCCAGTCCCTTGCTGGGGCCCTCTGGACCCTGAACTGGGCATCATGGCCAGAGCTGAGGAGATGACCCAGCCCGTGAGGAGCTGTCAGTCTGGCGGTAGCGTGGGGAGTAGGAGGGCATTGTGGCTAAGCATGTTGCCTAGATGCCGGAAAGGAAATATCTGCAAAAGCTGAGTCTATTTCTTCCTTGAGGCCCAGGAAGTTCCTGGATGAGGCAGGTCTTTGGGGGTCAGGCAGCTGGGGACAGGAGTAAAGAGCCGTCACCTACCCTGCAGCCCTCCCCAATGTGGAGCCGTCTCCTCTTTTCACTCCCTCATAATGCCAGGTGCAAGTTTCTCATGACACATAGTTCCTGAAGGGCCAGCGCCACCAGTGGGGTCCCTCCCCTGCCCAGTTCCTGGCCCTGCCCTACCAGCCCCTGCCTGGTTCCTTTCTCCAGTGCTGCCTTTTGAACTGTTAGGGCTCCAGGCCAGCATCCCTTGGAAGGGACCACATGGAGTGGTCACAAAAGGCTCATGGGCCCAGCGGCCCTTTCCCCAGAGAGCCCTAGGACTCCTTAGCCACCCCCCACTCAGACTCTGTGCTGTTCTGTGTGGGGAGAAGCCCATTTGATGGCCTCTGCCTCTGCTGGTTTCCAAGTGCATCTGGCTGGGAACCCTCAGGAGCACTGCCCTGGACTAGGGCTGAAGAGGGGTTGCAGGGGGCAGTGCTGCTGTGTGCCACTAGGTGCTGCCCTTGAGCAGCATCTTGTACCTCCTAAGAAAGTTAGCTAAGGTTCAGACTTGAACAAAATATGGGTCCCTAGCTGGTGGCCACTCTGAGCTCAGAGATCTCTGCTGCAGGTTGGGTTAAGTGAGGGACACCCGTGTAGACCCTTCACCCCCAGCCTGGCCAAGTGCAGGGAAGAACCAGCAGGTGGGACTGGTATTCCTGCAGAGGCTTCTGCTACCAGGACACGGCCAGGGCTGAGGTAGGGCCTTGAGACCTGGCTGTGGGGTCCGGTGGAGGGGGTGGGACCCCCTCCATGAGCTCCATTGCATTGCATATAACACCTCTGCAAACGTGTCTGCTGTGAGCCGAAAGGAAATAAAGCCCCAATTCTGACGCTCAGCTGTTGTCTGTGGGCAGCCAGCTAGGGTCACCTGGTGCCCGGGTTGTGGGCTCGATCCCCAGTAGGGGGCGTGCAGGAGGCAGCTGATCAATGATTCTCATTGATGTTTCTTTTTTTCTTGGTTTTTAATTATAATTTTCAGACATTTGAAGGAAACCTCTCTTTATTTCTTTCCACATTAATTTCTAGGCCAGCTTAGAGTTTCTCTTAAAAGTTTTGGTCTTTTTTTTTTTTTTTACACTAAGCAACCTACAGGGTTGTTTTTTGATATCATTGATGTTTCTATCTCTCCTCCCTCTCTGAAATCAATAAAAAATATATTTAAGAAAAAAGACTAGGTAGATGCCCTGGCTGGTTTGGTTCAGTGGATAGAGTGTCGGCCTATGGACTGAAGGGACCCAGGTTCAATTCCAATCAAGGGCACGCGCCTGGATTGTGGGCTCAGTCCCCAGTAAGGAGCGTGCAGGAGGCAGCTGATAAATGATTCTCATCATTGATGTTTCTATCTCCCTCTCCCTCTCTGAAATCAGTAAAAATATATTAAAAAAAAAAAAAGACTAGGTAGAAACTGAAATTCACTTGGGCTCACACCTACCCTTTCAGTATGCAAGGCCCACCATGCTGCAGCACTAAATCAGCATCTTCCGGGAGATGATGGGCAGCTGTCCTTGCTCTGGAGATGATTTCTGCCCCACTCTCCTGACCTGGGTTACCTTAGGTGGCTCGGCTCAGTGCAGCCCCGGTTTACTCAGTCTGTCAGTGGAGGGCATGGGGAGCCACCTTGGGGCCATAAAGCACCTCACCAGAGTACCAGAGTGTGCAGCCCACTTATCCAATAGCGCTGCCCATTGCAGAGCCTGCTAAGCTAGTGTGCTGTTACTCAGCACGACCGCAGCAGGCAGACTCCGAGATGTACCTCAAGGACCCCTGCCCCTGCCAATCAGGCCCCAGGAGCGGCTGGCCTAGTGGCAGGTTCTGACCAACAGGACTCGTCAGAGGTGATAGAGGTCAGCGCATGTGGAAAATAGAGCTCTGGATAAAGACCATCTGTTCACTAAGCACACTAGTGAGGATGTCGTAACCACAGACCCATCGCAGGCATCCCTGTGTTTGAGGGAACTGCAGAGGAGCTTTGAGAGCTCTCTGAGAACATCTGTAACCTCTTCCGTAACCCCACCCGCATAGTGAAGTCCAGTTTCCCTGCTCAGCTTCCAGCAACAATTTTCCAAGGCAGATCCAGCACCGGTTTAAAGGCACCCTTGCAAATGGAGGGCACACCGAGGCAGCCTGCTGACTGGGGGGCCAGCCCCCCCACCAGTGCCCAGTCTCACAGTGGTAGCCCTATCTTACTCCTCTCTTCAGCTACAGTGACAAATGGGTATGAGTCATGGAGCAGCCCAAGACCTGTGGGGGTCACCCTACCAGGTTCTGTGCCCGGGACTCTGCTCAGGTTCCCGATCCAGGCAGGCTTACCGGGCCACCCCATCAACCACACAGTAGGACGCCTTGTTGCCTTTCACTCCTTTGAGCTCTTGGCTATTTCTGTGCAGAAGACTAATGCTGAGTGTTTTGTCACCTTCCATGTGCGACACTGATGCACGTAGGTGCCTCACCAAAGCCAGGCTTTCTCGTCCTCTAAGACTTTTCCCCTTATCTCATGGATTCTAAAGCAAAAGCTCCTGACTGCCAGCTCTGTGGGTTGCAGACTGGTATGCCTCAGGTGGGGAGAGCTGGAGACAGGCGTGAAGGTGGCTCAGCCTCATGGAATTCTTTTTATCATATACAAAAAATACTACTGGTCGACTTAAAGTCCTCTTGCTTTTTCCCTGTGGGAATGTCCAGCACTAATTTAGTTCATTTACTTTTTATTTAAATCTTTTTTTAAATGTATTTTTATTGATTTCAGAGGGGCAGGGGGGAGGGAGAGATAGAAACATCAATGATGAGAGAGAATCATTGATCGACTGCCTCCTGAACGCCCTCTACTGAGGATCGAGCCCGCAACCCGAGCATGTGCCCTTGACTGGAATCAAACCCTGGACCCTCCAGTTCGCAGGCCAATGCTCTATCCACTGAGCCAAACCAGCCAGGGCCTAGTTCATTTACTTTTTGTTTTATTTTGAATTTATTGCTATGAAGATGAGAGCATTACACCATTACCCTCTTTATATCACTTATTTGGCATTATGGTATGCATTCTGAAGCAGGTAAATCTTGTTTGCTCATAAGAACTGTGTACATTCTTTCTTCTTAGCCAACAGGCAGGGCTATCTTTGTGAGGAAACAAAATTAAGACTTGTTATTTTCTTATAAAAAAATGTGGATCCCTTGCCGAAACCGGTTTGGCTCAGTGGATAGAGCGTCGGCCTGCGGACGCTCCCGGGTTCGATTCCGGTCAAGGGCATGTACCTTGGTTGCAGGCATATCCCCAGTGGGAGATGTGCAGGAGGCAGCTGATCGATGTTTCTCTCTCATCGACGTTTCTAACTCTCTATCTCTCTCCCTTCCTCTCTGTAAAAAATCAATAAAATATATTTTTAAAAAATGTGGATCCTGACCCATTTGAGCTTTCAGATGAAATCCAGCTCTGGTCAACACCTGGATTGCAGCGCCCTAGAGAGACCTTGCAGAAGGCCCAGGTAAGCCATGCCCGGTTCCTGGTCTGTGGAAACTGAGATACCACACATTTTAAGCCACTGTTTGTGGTGGTATGTTCTGCAGCAGTAGCTGACTAATCTATACGAGTATATATAAAACCTAATATGCAAATAGTCCGAACAGTGGAACTGAACAACCGAACATCTGAACAACTGGTTGCTATAACGTGCGCTGATCACCAGGGGGCGCGCGTGGAACATGGCGGGTGTTGGCTGTGGCAGGATGGTGGAGCAGGTGAGCGGGGGGCTGGGGGGGGTGCCAGACCAAGGCGGGGTGCCGGTCACTGTCATTGGGGCGAGCCTCTGGTGGTTACTGATAATTCTTTGCTTGCACCTGGTGCCGACACCGGCCCCGCTTGCACTGCAGGTGGTGCCGGAGCCGCTGCTTGCACCCGCTAGCAGCACCCAGAGCCGCTGCTCGCACCTGCTGCCGGCCCTTGAGGGCTTCTCCACCTGCCCCTTGTACCCGTTGATGGTGCGGCCCCAGTTGCTCCGTGCCATCAGCAGGTGGGAGCAGAGGCAACAGGAGCAGGGCTGCCAGCAGATAGAGGACTAGGGGCTGCAGCGAGAGGGGCCGGGCGGGGGCGTGGAGAATGGGCCAAGACCCGCCCCTGTGCCCACCACAGCCTCCAGGCCCACAGTTACTTTCAAGGTGCACGAATTCGTGCACTGGGCCCCTAGTACACTGATAAAAGCACACCACAACCACTTGCCAATTTACCGAACTATTTAACTTCTGCTCGTTTCCCGTCTTTTAGCACTTGGTCTGTTTGCTGTGCCTTTGTTCCCTTTTCTTTCCAGGATTGTGATTAGGGGTACATGTTAGCACTGGGCCATCATCTTCCTTCTGCTCTGGGAGAGTGATCCACCCAGCAAATCCGTGGAGTAAGGGCTCCCTGTTGTCTGGTTTTGCCCTTATTACCTGCTTCTTTTTTAAAATACGGAATGCTTCACGAATTTGCATGTCATCCTTGCGCAGGTGCCATGCTGCACTTCTCTGTATCGTCCAAATTTAGTATAGGTGCTGCTGGAGAGCACACTGCCTGCTTCTTAAGATGGTTTGGAGGCAGCAACTGTGGGATCCTTGAATTCCATCCCTCCAGCTGT